AAATATAAAATACAACCAGTTCCCGTGTCGCTTCGGACCATTCGTCCTACGACATGATGGGAACCGGAGGAATCGTAAAGCATGCGACTCACCGATCGCTGACTTGCGCCACTGCGATCGTTTTACCGGTAGAACATCTGAGACTGCACTTCTGGTAGGCATTGCATCTTTGAGGTGGATTGGCTGCTTGATTGATTGGCTGATTGATTGATTGACTGCTTGGTTGCTTGGCTGCTTGGCTGCATTCATCAGATTTGGATGTGGCGGTTTGGCAATTGACCATCTGTAATCATAAAACAATCACAACGATTAATTAACTGTGTTTATCGATTTGCATTTTGATAACATATAAGTTTTTCGACATCTACTTGTACAAACATATAGAAGCATGCAGGAGTCGGTTATAAATTTGCAAACGTTTATGTTACATCGTGAAATATTGTAAAATATTTGAAAATGCATGTCAAAACACTTGGGTAATTACTTTAGAGAGCACGGTAAACGTTTGCAAGAATATAACGGAACACATAGGTAACTACAGTTCAAACACCAGTAACAGTTTGTTAAAACATTTAAATAACCACTGCATAAAGTACACTACAACACCAGTAATAGTTTGTCAAAACATTTGAATAATCGTTTTAAAAAGTTCACTACAACACCAGTAACAATATGTCAAAACGTTTAAATAATCATTGCATAAAGTACACTAAAGCACCAGTAACAATATGTCAAAACATTTAAATAACCATTAAATAAAGTGCACTAATAACCATTAATAATTTGTAAAAACACTTAAATAATCACTCCACAAAATACATTAAATCAGTAAAAAATTAATAAAACATTTAAATAACCGCGCCATAAAACACACTACTAAATTCGTATACACGTGCACAATCACTTAATAAAACACACAAGTAAAGTCACTGACACTTGTAGAATTACACCATAAAATTTGTTAATACACCCACATAATTAATAAAAAATATTTAATAATGCACACTAAACACTGTTATTAATACACTAGGTACACTTATATATCCGTATATGCATGCAGGAAACACACCGGTAAAGTCACTGACACTTGTTGAATTACACCATAAAATTTATTAATACACCCGCATATTTATTAAAAAATATTTATTAAAGCACACTAAACACTTATTAAAACACATTAGGTAATACAGGGACAAGCACAATATCGGTTAAGTGAACCCTTGACTCGTACCGGTAAGTGTTGACAGGTGCGGTCCGACCTCCTCGATTTCCAAAATAAGACTGAAAGCATTCGACCTCCCGCCACTGTGTGTGTTATTGGTAGTTGACACAGCCAATTAGACATCATAATAATCCACCAGTAGATCCCATTCGATCTCTTCAAGTGCAAGGGTGATTGGTAGTATATAGTAACCAATCAGGCATCACGTAATGCACCAATAGCGTGCAAGCATTCTGACTGGATGTTGTATAACTATTCTAATGTTAATTTTTTTATAATTTTATATTTTTCGATTATTTATTAACAAATTTGTTGTTGCAATTGTTTAAATTTATTATTTTTTTTTAACTTACTCTTGTAGATATGTTACAAAAATTGTTAATTAATATATTACGATATATTTTATTGTAACTTAAAGACATAATAGTTTCATATTTTTCGAATGTTTTACGCGCGGCTTTTTAAAATGTGACGTCATCAGCGAAAATGGAACTAGTGCCATCTCTCCGGCGAACAGGGTGGACTACACGGTTTTGCAACTGTAATTTCATTAGTTTTCCACACTGCCACTGGACGGCGCCACGTGTATTTTTTCAGTTAAATTCAATTAATATAGTTGATTTTATTAGTATAATTGATTATAACATGAATTGAATTACATCGAAGTACAAGACCAATTAACTTCGAATTATTTTGACTTTACTAAACTATTATCAATTTTTAACCACCCTTAGGATAACTCTAATTAGCTTAACGGCAAAGGGTAGATATAACAAGAGGAGACATTAGACAAGGAAACTCACCTCTTAGAAAGGTAATGTATATTACAAATATATTCAAAATGACTAGAAATTGACATGGAAGTAGATTTGCTCGATTTAAATTTCCCCCTCGTTTGCACGATCAATTTAAACAAAGTAAAAATGGTATAATAGTGGAACAGTATCAACTGGTGGGGGGCGTACTGAAGTTAGCTGTATTGCGGAAATCGAAAATGATCTATGGTCGAACGGATATTTGTAAATAATTTCTACCTCACAACTATGCACAATGTACATGTTTCATAATAAAACTGTTTATACACAATAAATTGATAGTTCTTTTTATTTAATCTGCAACACTGTATAATTCATATGCGATCATAACCAAAAATCAAATAACTGCAATTACATCGTTCGTGTTACCCGTGTGTTTTATTGAATGACTAATCTGTCCACGTGCCAATGGATGCCGACTGCAAAAATTCTGTTAATCGTCTTTTAGAATTAAATAATTAAAAGAAAAATGGTAATTGCAATTGGATTCGAAGGTAGTGCAAATAAATTGGGTGTTGGAGTTGTTCAAGATCAAAATGTTTTGTCAAATGTACGGCATACGTATATTACTCCACCAGGCGAAGGTAAACTTTTAATATTTACACTTTCAAATTAACTTGTTTGTTTAACACAAATATTACTTTGCGTTTGCTGTATATTGTTAATCAAAATGTTAGATACAAAATCTTTTAAAGATCATTTTAAAAAGGGTTTTTACCTCGTGAAACTGCGCAACACCACAGAGAACATATTCTTGCTGTCTTACAAAAGGCATTAGATGATGCTAAAATAACATTAAAAGATGTGGATGTCATATGCTATACAAAAGGACCAGGAATGGGAGCACCATTAACAGTTGCTGCATTAGTGGCAAGAACAGTTGCTCAATTATATAATAAACCGATTGTTGCAGTCAATCATTGTATCGGTCATATTGAAATGGGGAGATTGATTACAGGAAGTATAAATCCCACTGTTTTATATGTTTCTGGTGGAAATACACAGGTCATTGCGTATTCTCAGCAGAAATATCGTATATTTGGTGAAACAATAGATATTGCTGTTGGAAATTGTCTAGATCGTTTTGCAAGATTATTAAAGCTGTCAAATGATCCTAGTCCTGGTTATAATATAGAACAATTAGCAAAAAAGTAAGTTATCTTATTATAAATACAATATATTTGATTATACATATTGCTTATAGTATAATATAATTTTACATCAATATAGAGGGAATAAATTAGCTCCATTACCTTATGTAGTAAAAGGTATGGATGTATCTTTTTCGGGAATTTTAAGTTACATAGAGGAACATCTTTCTTCTTGGCTTAACTCCAAAGAATTTACTCCAGAAGATTTATGTTTTTCTTTACAAGAAACAGTATTTGCCATGCTTGTTGAAATTACAGGTATTATTATTACTTATGATTTACTTTCATATTGCAATAAAGGCAAATATATATTTAATGTGGTAACATTATAGAGCGAGCAATGGCCCATGTGAATTCATCTGAGGTGTTAATTGTTGGTGGTGTAGGGTGTAATGAAAGATTACAGGATATGATGGGAATTATGTGTAAAGAAAGAAATGCAATACTTTATGCTACAGATGAAAGATTTTGTATAGATAATGGTGTAATGATCGCTGTAGCTGGATTACTTCAATATAAAAGTAGTGGACATACACCATGGATAGAAACAACTTGTATACAAAGATATCGGACAGATGATGTACATATTTTTTGGAGAGAATAAATCTTGTGTAAAATCATTTGTTATAATATTTCTTAAATAATAAACGTTTTGATATATAGTTGCCAATGTGTTATAAATTGATTAGACATATTTCATTATTTAAACTTTTGTATATAAAATTGAGAATAGTTGTAATTATACTATTCAACATATTATTATGCAATCCTCTTCACTGTTCAATGCATAACAATCTTTTGTTATTTCTATTTATATATTATATTTAATTCGAACGATGCGCGTGGTGTTCTATATCTATAAATACTTTGTGCGTACGCACGCGTGTGTGCGCGCATGCACAAACATTGTTCGGGTTCAAAATTGATATTGAGCTATCAGTTTGTGAAAAAAAAAGAAGAAAAGTGGACCGACATAGGCGGAGGTGAAATTTTCATGACACGCGCGGTAGATAGAAGTAGCATACAACATTCGTCGACGCAAGCGCACGTGTGGCTATAGTCCAAACAATACTTTTGTCGTTAGCAGCAGCCGTTATAATATTAGTAGAATCCGTATCGTCATCTCTGCTGGATACACGATCAGCAGCTACTGTTAGTAGTATATGCAAATAGTCATTAACGGTTTCGTTTTAAATTATTTTCAATCTTAGAATATTGTTTGGAAATTCTGTGCCAACCTTCGTGTTACCATAAAATTATAAAATTTTATTTCGGATTATTTTAATCGGGACTTAAAAAACGAAAAGAAGAATAAAAGTAACCATAAAATTTCTTTTATATTATAACGACTATATTATATTGTCCATTCCCTAATCGATAGAGGCGCGAACACCGATTGCAGCGCTTGGTGTGGAACAAGTGGCAGTACGATATCGTCATTGCTCAACGATAGTCACTGTTCGTCAGGGTGCATTTGCGTGGTGGTCTCAAGATGTGCTGCTGTACAATAGTGTATAATGCCTTGTCTTTTTGACCGAATGATACTCGTGCTTAAAACAGAGGTGAGTCGCAAAATTTGTCCTGCCTCGTTTCTACCGCTGTACATCTATTTCCGTATAGTAGCTGCTTCATTATAGCATCGTATCTGTACGTCAAATACTGTCTCCAAATAACACGCATACAGACCTAGATAATTTAAATCTCTCAGCTGTTCGCCCTTGAATCTCCTACGAATCTAATCTAATTCACCTTTGAATATTTTAGTATTGTTAATTTACACATTTCACTTCGAGATATTTTACTGTTAAGTAAACGACAGTTGAACGTTAATACTATAATTATTTCACGGTGATTCTGTGCAAACCTTTCGTATATTGTACCAAGATTCGATTAAAAAATAAGCGGTCTAAGTATTTTATGTTTGTCTTTCAAGAATTTACGATTTATAGAATTTTTTGTTGCCGAGGTCAGGAATAAAGAATTCAAAGATATTCCGATACGAAAATCAATATCCGTGAAACCAGGAAGAAATACATTTTTAATAATCGTCACGTTCGTGAAAGTTCGATGACAGTGAAAAATTGTGTTATTTAACTTATGAAACAAAATAAGGAAATTGTGTCATTGATTTTGTTCGTGAGATTATATTCAAAGCTGATGGCTGTAAACAGTCTTTACATACTATTGGTTGGTAACGGTCAGCATCCGTGTTTGCTACTGCAGCCCGCGATAATATGAATAGTGAATGTGTCGTGTTCTCGAATGTTCATTAACAATTCACTTAATTATTTTCGACGTCGCATCAATGAAATTTTATTCGTATCGAATTGTATTTAGTTTTCGTTAAACGATGAATTCGTGCACCTCAACGTTATTAAAAGCAAAGAATTTGTAACTGGCATATCTTACGACACTTGAATATTTTTGTTAGACGTACAATATCATATTGACGCGTAGCCAAGATGCAAACAATGCATCAACTAGTATTTAAATAATGCACCGTTAGATGTGTCATTGCTTGTCGTCGTAATGTGACCAAGAGATTTTTTCCAAAAGCATACATACCGATCGACATGAGACCAATCAATGATAAAATAGCGGTTGAATCGATAACAAGAGTGTAACAAGCATAACCACTCAGGGATGTAAGAGGTTGCTTTGGAATTATGCCACGAATAAATGCCGTGCCATGACATTTAAAGCCGTTCTACAAAATATCATATGAATGGGAAATTAGCATTTGACATCTTCATCCGGTTTTCCACTAATTTTTCGATGTTCTGAAATCACGAGCTACTACATAGTATTCGATAGAACTACAAAGAAATACAAATGGTCGTTGGAAGATCAAAGTGTATCCTCTCGCCTAGTTATTTCCACCCACGCGGATCGATCTGCGCGAAGTAGATACTACTGGATGCTACTCAAAGGAGAAACAAATTGTAAGAACACGTTTTAACCTCTTCATCGCAAATTATGTATACTTCAGATCCGAGTACTTTCAAGTGATAAATGATTCTACCTTTATTATTCTAATGTAAGAGCAATAAATGTAGAATTGCCGCACGCAAACGAGCTGCTTTCGTGCAGGCTTCGAAATCATTCTGCTTTTTTTAAAAATCTGATTTAAATAAATATAGGCCTGGTGTACACGTGAAAGTGGAGGCAGACATTTTTTATCGTTCACTTTCGATTTTGCGAACACTCAGAATATTTAACATAGATGCCATACAACGCGAGACTATATAACACGAGGTTATGTAATGCATAGTGTTATGACGTGAAACTTTAGGACGATGTAGCTTGGGTTTGTAGAATGTTTTGTAATATAATACGAGGCAAACGCGTGGTTATACGGAACACTTTAAAATGTATTACGTTCTACGAAATGTGTCTTGCGTTTAGTCCTTTGATCATAAAAGACGCTTTGACTTTGAAATATATATTAAAGTAATAAATAAAAGGAAATAATTATTGCTACAGTAATAATACCGTTGCGTGATTTGTCTATAAATTGCCGTTCTCAGCGAGGACAATAGATTTTTTTATTGTAATTACCGTCGGCTCTATTATTTTCTAGAAAAGTACGTTTAGCCGAATCAAGATATTATTCCCAGAAATACAATTCAAGGCTGCGTACGTATATTTCGTGACTAAAGTAACTTCATCTAAAGCATGACATATTTCTTTTTTATCGTAAACAAAATATGACCTCCTTTTCAATATCGGATTTTATTTTCGTCACGTCATTGTATCGTTACAATAGTATATATTGTAACTATGGAACAGATCTTAGAACTTTTTATTTTAACGATAAGAAAGTCTGTACTTAAAGGTGAAAAAATATTAAGTAAAAATATGAAAAGATATTTGTTAAAAATATTAATATATTAATTTTGTAGGCGGCAAGTGGAAGCTTAAATTGAAAAACGAAGCGGTTGTAATCCGAATAATTGCAATTACATATAGCGTGACACACACTGGCGATGCTGCGCTTCCCTAGGGAAAACGGCAGCGTAAGGGAAGCATGACACACCGCTCGTTAATTTTTGGTTAGTAAATAAATTTAAAAATTTATATAAACTTTGGGAATTCGTGGAATTAACAAATTTTATTACTATGAAAATGCGGTTATCTCGACTTACTTTGGAATGTAGATCTACTTTTAAGATGGGAACCCCTCTGTGTAAAAGTCTCGCGTAAATTATCATACCATAGCTTTCTGTACCTATTGCCTTTAGTTAAGAGTCGCGTGAAAACTTAAAGCGTTTGTACATTCTTATCGTGCATGGTTAATCAGTATTTATTGTAGCTCGCGGTAGCATTTCGTCAAAATAATCGCTCTCGTTACATACTGATCTAGACTTTGCACGAACTCACGTGCATGGCTGAATCAGGACTATCGAGACAGGTGCTTTTCGCACAGAAACTAGGTCAGAGTGTATTAACCTCGCACGTAAATAGTACTAGACATTTGCGATAAATATATTAATTTTTTCAGCTTCCTTGTTCGATTTTTTCCTCTACCTTTCTTTTATCAGATACTTTCACTGGGAGGAATTTATTATTTATTCCATTCATAATTTAATGTTCTTTTATATTATAAAATAATTTTTTTTTTATATTATGTTAAATTCGCAGTAAAATTAATTTTGTATTTTTATTTAGAAGTGGCCAATTTACCTCAAGAAGTTCCTGCAACCCCATTGGCAATAAAAAGTCTCCTGTCCAGATGCAAACTTCAATACCAGCGTTTATTTACAATAATTTGACTAAAGTAATACATACTCGAATAGTATTATACATATCTTTATTTGTTAACAAAGTACAAGTGACACTTAATTCAAATGATTATTTATCAGTCAATGACCAGACGTGTTCTGTTGAATTGCGTATGGCAATAAAAGATTCTGTTGTACGCACGAAAATAACACGGGCGGATGATATCAGATTTGAAATTTGGCAACATTATGAACGACAATAATTTGTTTTTACGTTCTGTCGAAACGTTCTATAGATCAGCTGATTGTAATTTTTTTTGTAGAACAATGAAATCCTACTAAACAAGGTCGAAGGTGCTACAGATACTTCTGAAATAACTTGAATCTTATTTTCGTGTCGGCTGAACAGCAGGCGGCCGAGTATCATAGATATTAAGAAGGGACGAGAAACTGCGATTCGAGGAATCTTGGAAATAGCATCTATTATTCGGTTACATTTCGTAATGTCGTTACAGTGCGAAACGTTTTGTAAAATTTTAATTAGCTGCACTGAAATTATTATAAGGGTTCCATAAGGGTAATGCAGCTTCTCTATTTTTATTCACAACGAATAGTACACGTATACTTTCCAAAAATGATCAGATTTGTAAATTTTTAGATTTTTCTACATTTTGTAATTTCCAAGAATCTAAACGTGCAAGGTGTACTCCAACATAATCGCGTTAGCTAGAGTCTTTGAGAATACAATGTAAAGCCGTAACATGGTCTTTCATTATTATTTAAAAAGGAATATACCCAACGTGCCTGCACTTGTTACGGTTGATAATTCACCTTGGTTGTAAGCCTCTTTACAAACTAATAATTCATATTTTCCTAACTTCAAGAATGAAACTGTTTCGATTGTTAAATATTTATCAGCGAAACTTTTCATCAACGAAAACAGTATAAATTTGCAATGGCTCTACTTAACAAGGAAAGGGTGATTCACTTCTAACAAGCCATATCGTTCTGCTTGTGGTTAGGGTAGTACAGGAAAGAGATAAATAGTTCCAGATAGATTATTATTCTTTTCGTCACTCTTCTCGGGTATCTTTAATTTAGTATAACATCAATATTAAATTCTGGTAAACACTATAAAACATTACCAACACTTAGGTGTAACATAGAACAATTCAGAAGTTGAGATATTTTAAATTTAAAATATTTCATACTACAAAAATATTAAATATTTGGCAAATTAATTTCTTTGACTTTGTATTATCATACTTTTTATTCACGATGTCGACCAACATAAAAGTACACACATTTCTTTTTATTAATTATAATAAATCTCATAAGCTGCAGTGATTTTATAAAACTGCATCATATTCTTTCAATGTCTGCAGAAGCTGTCCTGTATGTCCTCGTTCCACTTCCATACAGGGCTTTACATCTTGGCAGTATAGAATTGCAAACTCTTTTAAACATTTGCGAGTTTGTTTGAATCACTTGACAGACATCTAACATACGCTGTTCCGCTATTGAAATTGATGAAAAAACTTAGGTTGAATATTATAAAAAAGTTCTGTGGAAATGAGTATGTGAAGTTGCCACGAGAAAAAAAACAAACTTAAAGGTAATCTATTGCGACTAAAGTTTCGATACGAATTACAAATTTATGCGAACGAAGTTGTTATTTGTTTAACTCTGACTCAGTAATGTATAACTGCGTTCTTAATGGTGAAAAATTTGAAAATACTTAAAAATTTCTATGTTACCATTCTGAAATTTGATACTCTGGAATATTCCTAAGTGTACAATAGTATCGTTCCCCTATTTCCAACAGTGGCATATTTCCTTCCATATCAATAACTTGTGCCCACTTGACATGCAACTTTTTAAATTTATTCGTGCAAAAAGTTGCAACCGAGATAAAACGTGTTAGGAATCTTAAATTGGCAAGGAATCGATAAGGTATAATACGAAAGAAAAATCCTAGTGCTAATACCGATACCCCAAGACAATCAGCACACCGAATGATTAACCCCCATTAAGATAATTGCTCATTAAATCGCTTGTCTACAAGTAGCATCCACCAACCGCTTTATTAATATCTTTCCGCAGAGTATGACGTGGCGCGGTCTAACCGAGCCAAGAGAAGAGGACAGACGTAGTTACGGATGAAGCACAAGAAGGGTAACGAGGACGAGGAGGAGGAGGAAGAAGAAGAAGAAGACGACGAAGAAGAAGGCGGCGCCAAAGAAGAAGAAGACGCCAATTACAAGGGAAATAAGAGAAAAGCAATCGACCTAGTATCAAAGAATCGAAAGATCAAATTACTGGCCGACGAGTTAACATCACCGTCGGTTAGCCGGTACATTTGATGCTGAGCGGAAAGAGATTCGAGGACGACTCAACGCTGGCGGACGGGGAACGTAATGGAAGCGCCGTGGTCACGGGCCCGGTGCTATCGTCGTCGTCGTCGTGCACGGTGCCCTACATCGGCACCGACCAGGGTTTCGTGTTCGAGGGTGGCGGCACGACGACGTTGCAGCGGCCTGGTGCAGTGGGTGCATCGGTTACCAGCTGCACCGGAAGCGGGACAGGAGGAAGTGGGATCCTAGGAAGCGGCGGTAGCATAGCCGGTCTGGGGGTTAGCATGGGTGGAGGA